GGGAACAAAAGGGAGATGCTTCAGATCCTCATGCAGCTGAGTCGCAGCCTCGGCTCACGCCCACGACGCGGCCGGATCCAACAACCAAACCGGGCGCCAGCCGGTGCCCCCCTGCCACTTGGCACCCCCGCGGTGCGCGGGGGGACTGCGCAGATGGGCCGGCTCGCCGGCAAACTTTACCTGGGCTGAGTCCCTGCCTCCCTTCGCCCTCGCCTCCCCACCGCGCTCTCAGTCCCGGGTGGAGGTTTACCATCTACCGAGTGCCTCCTTTTCTTTATCAATTTGGCTTTAGCGCCTGCTCTGCCCTCCCTGCTCCGGCTCTGCCCCGGCTCGCAGCGATGAAGCCTCTCGCTTTCCCTAAAAACTGCAGTCACTGTAATTTCCAGCTGGAACGATCTCGTAACAGAAAGGAGGGCACGGCTCTGCGCCGAACTCCGGGGGGATGCCTCCCTGGTGCTAATTAGTTGACTTCTAAAGTGCTTCTGTTTAAATTACATGCTGTTGTAATGGGTGAGAAACCTTAAAGGCAAACGGCATCAGCGGCGGGAACGCGGCTGCTGGGCGCACAGGCGGAGCCACCCAGGCTGGACCGGGACCAGGACCGGGACCAGGACCACAGCCATGGGCCCAAACCTTCCCCCGAGCCGCAGAGCATCACTTACCACCAGGGTAACACAGCAGCGCTTTGCATTAGGGATAGGAGATTAAAAAAACATCTTTAATTCAAATAACGCCATCTTTAAACACAGCACTGGCGTTTGATGAAGAGGATGTGAAGCTTTCCAGAGCTGCCAACATCAGACACAATCTCCAGGTAGCAAAGGAAGGAAAAATGAAAAATGTATGGTTTAGCCCCAAAACAACTAGCAAAGACCTGACCTAGAGTCTGTCGGTTGTGCAGAAAAACACGTCCCAGGGTAGATTAAAACACTGAGCTACGCCTGGATTATGTCTGAACTGTGCTGTGCAAACAGCTACCAGTCTGGAAAAGCACTTCTGCCCCGACAGCGTGCCACAATGCTAAAATTCACACGCTCTGGGGAGAGAAAACTCCTGTACAGCTTCACCCACGTAAAAGGACATCTGCG